GCAGATAATTCAGGCTCTGAACAAAACAAGTGGAGAATCTGCAGTGGAAGGCACAGGGTCATGGGTAATTTAAGCCATACCCATAATAAAAACCTAAAAAGGAAGAGCAGAGGAAACTGTCACACCCAAAACTAAAGAGAATCCCCATGATAGAACAGACTGTAGGAGCAAAAGGGCAACACAATTCCAGGCTGTATATGTCACCCAAGGTGTGCTGCAGCACCTTAGCCATTAGTAAAGTGGGAGTGAACCTGAGTGTTTGGCATACACCATGAGCACCTTCCTAACCAATTGTGAACACGAATTTCCCAATTCCAGTCCTGAATTGGAAATAACACACCAGGACAGGCCTGGCCTTGCTGGACAAGCAAATGGGGAGGTCCAGGCACTGAACCTACTTGTCCCACGCAGACAGAATGAGCTCCAATAGCCTGAAGTGAAACTGCACAAAGCAGTCTCAACAGAAGCACCCTTTCTATCCAAGCTCGTTTGTGCAACTGAAAACATGGCAACTCTTTGACTACAGGGTCCAAGCATGAGACTTGAAAGATTGGATCTTTTCTGAGGGAAATGAAGACCCGGACAGCGCCATGTCCAAGTGCTGAGGGTTTCAGCACTGACCTCGGGAGATTCAGAGGACTTCCCTTTTAATAGCATGAGACAGTGCTGTTCCCTATAATAGCTAACATCATGTTTTGTTGAAAGCGTTCTAATGAGAACTGTAACCAGTAATATTTGCTTCCAAACCTCAAGCAGGAGTACAGTGAGAAAAATAATTATTTGATCCCCTGCAGATTTTGTAAGTTTGCCCACTTACAAAGAAATGAAAGGTCTATCATTTGTATCATAGGTGTATTTTAAATGATAGAGACAGAATATCAACCAGAAAAAACACGATACAAATGTTATAAATTGAGTTGCAGTTCAGTGAGTAAAATAAGTATTTGATCCCCAAGAAACACATGACTTAGTACTTGGTGGAGAAACGCTTGTGGGCAAGCACAGAGGTAAGACGTTTCTTGTATTTGGTTACCAGGTTTGCACACATCTCAGGAGGGATTTTGGTCCACTCTTCATTACAGATCTTCTCTAAATCTGGAGACTAGATAGGCCACTCAATGACCATAATGTGCTTCTTCTTCAGCCACTGCTTTGTTGCATTGGGTCATTGTCGTGCTGAAAGACCCATTCACGACCCATCTTCAGTGTTCTGGCTGAGGGAAGGAGGTTCTCATCCAAGATTATACAATACATGTCTCTGTCCATTGGCCCCTCAATGCAACAAAGTCATCCTGTACCTTTAGCAGAGAAACAGCCCCAAAGCATAAGGTTTCCACCTCCGTGCTGGACTGTAGGGATGGTGTTCTAAGGGTCACAGTCAGCATTTTCATTCCTCCACACAGCGAGTCGGGTTATTGCCGAAGAGCTCAATTACGGTCTCATCTGACCGCAGCATTTTCTCCCAATCCTCTGAATCATTTAGATGTTCATTGGCAAACTTCAGACGGGCCTGTACATGTGCCTTCTTGAGGGGGACCTTGTGGGCGTTGCAGGATCTCAATTAATGGCAGTGTATTGAATTACCAATGGTTAGTTTGGTGACTGTGGTCTCAACTGCCTTGAGGTCATTCACAAGCTCCTCCCATGTAGTTCTGGGCTGATTCCTCATTTTTCCCATGATTATCCTTACCCCATGAGGCAAATTCTTGCATGGAGCTCCAGACAGAGGGCAATTGATGGTGATTTTGTATTCTTTCCATTTGCGAATAATCGCTCCAACAGTTGTTTCCTTCTCACCAAGCTTCTTGCTGATAGTCTTGTAGCCCATTTCAGCCCTGCGCAGGTCTACAATCTGGTCCCTAACACCCTTTGGTCTTCCCCATGGTGATGAGGTTTGAATGTAAGAGATTCTGTGGACAGGCATCTTTTATAGACATAAAAAGTTGTTGTTAGGAGCACTTTTTAATTGAGAGGACTAATCTGTGTACCACATAGCTAGTCTGTGGGAGCCAGAATTATTGATGGTTGGTAGGGGATCAAATACTTATTTTACTCACTGAACTGCAACTCAATTTATAACATTTGTATCATGTATTTCTGGTTGATATATTCGGTCTATCATTTAAAATACACCTGTGATAAAATGATCTACCTTTCATTTCTTTGTAAGTGGGCACATTTACAAAATCTGCAGGGAATCAAATCATTATTTTCCTCACTGTATGTAGTTGCACTATTCACCCTTGTTCTTCCTCATCTCCCTTAAATCTGTTCCAGGCCTTCTGCAACTTCACCAACCCACTTTAACCGCTTGAAGACCAGGTGTTTAGACCCCCCGGCCAGGCCATTTTTCAGTGTTCAGCGCTGCAGTACTTTGACTGACATTTATTCCGTCATGCAATGCTGCACTGAAATGAATTTTATACCATTTTTTGGGGACAGATAGAGCTTTCTTTTGGTGGTATTTAATCACCACTGGGGATTTTATTTTTTACTATAAACTAACATTATGTTATAAAACAACTATTACCCACTTTTTTTGGTAAAATATAAAAGACGGGGTCACATCGGGTAAATAGACACCAAACATGTCAAGCTTAAAAATTGCACGCATTCGCAAAAAAACTAGCATACCCAAAATTGGCCATAGGCAACGCTTTAAAAGCTTTTACAGCTCATCAGTTTAGTGTTATCAGTGATTGATGGGCCAAAAATTATTGCTCATTCAGACGTTCGCGGCGATATGTAACATGTGCAGCGTAATCTTCATTTTCGCAGGTATGCGCACATTTACATGTATGTAGGGGTGGGGGGGGACTTGTCACCTAGGACCCCCCTGAAGTAGAGATGTGCTTCATCAACTGGAGAGTGACACAAGAATGCAGAAGTGATGTAATATACACCACTTCCGCATTCTGACAGCAGAGGGAGGTCGTGATCCGACCTCCCCCTGATCTCGTGACAGAGGCAGTATGCTGGTCCCGGGCTCACACCGGAGCCCAGGGCCAGCTTGACAGCGGGGGACGGGGAGCACGTCACGGGACCTCATAAAACCAATCCGCCAGCTTTATAGCCGGCGGATCGCTTGTATATTAACGGGCATCGCTGCCCGTTTTAAAATACCCGGCATTTCCCGCCCGAGCGGGTGGATGTAACAAGACGTGTATACACGCCCAGTTACATCCAAGAAGCTCCCAGCCACGTATACACAACGGCCAGCAGGTAGTTAATTCAACTATTCAAAGTACTTTCCCCTCAACCTTATAATTCCTACAAATTTCCTTACATTGTGATAACACCCATATGGATTGGAATGATGAAATGTTAGTTGTCGGAAATAAGCCACACAACACTATATGGGTGTGCATTCTTAGTAATTCATATTCCTGATGCACAACAACTCTCACCAGTTAGCCACAACCTCAGAAATATGGAAGCATTTTTCATTTTTAGTGTTAAAAAAACCCAACAGCTGTTGATTAAGACAAATGTGCTATACTGGCAGCATTATTTTCAATAAATTTTCTGGGTGTTTAGAATTCTGCCCCTTAAGATTCTCAGCAGGTTTTCAAGTCTGCTCAGGAGACAGATGTGCGACCTTACAGTAGAAACAGTCAAGCAAAACAAACAAAGCACTCAACAATTTGTTGCAGTTATACAGTAAGGTGCACACGAAATGGGCTTTGAACAGTAAAACAGCACACTGGTTTGTGAGTGTGCCATGATGCCTTTCTGCTGTTTTACTGTTCAAAGCCCATTTCGTGTGCACCTTACTGTATAACTGGTAACAAATTGTTGAGTGTGTTTGTCATTTGTTTTGCTTGACCAATTTGGTGCAGCAACGCATGGGGTTTCTCAGCTGCCATTGGGATGTGCGGAATCCCTTGTGTGTTTCTGTACCTTTTAAAGGAGGTTGGGCGTCCTCCTGACAGGCCTGCACCCAATTTGATATCTTCTGCCCCCATGTGCTCCAAGATGGAGACTCTAATAGTTTAGAGATAGGACCGCACTATAAGAGGTGCCTTGGCGCGGCTTAAGGCCGTGACACACTGCAGGCGAAGCAGCGCGGAGCGGTGGCGCGCTGCCTTTGCGACCAGTGTGTCATGCCATTTTCTCCTGGGAACCTCAGCTGGCGAGAGCTCGCGGAGCTTGAGCGTGCCGAGATCAACAATTCCAACTTCAGCCAATCGGCTCGCGCAAATAAACCAGAGCGTCGGTATGCGACAGCTGGCTGGTTGTTACGGACAAGCCGATTGGCTGAAGGTGCAGTCAATCATCTGACTGCAGTCAGCTCACACACTGCACGCAAAGCTCCGTGCCGGATAGCTTTGCTTCGCTCTGCACGGCTTCGCGTGCAGTGTGTCACGGCCTTAACACATCCTTTGCAGAAGACGTGTATCCAAACCGCTGTCATTGTCCTTAGTGGTGAGACCAGTTGTTTTACATGCTGGTTTGTGAGTGTGCCATGATGCCTTTCTACTGTTCAAAGCCCATTTCGTGTGCACCTTACTGTATAACAAATTGTTGAGTGCGTTTGTCGTTTGTTTTGCTTTACAGTAGAAACAGTCACACTCTTTCCATACATCTGCTGATTATGGTACGATCACGGGATCGCCCTGCGATTATCGTACAATAATTGGCAGGTATATGGACACCTTAAGAATGAGTTTAGCTTTGAAGGTTTTCTAATTTATCATCCATTTAGAATTTTTGCCATCTACTTAAATTTTACTAACTGCTGAAACATATTAATCTGCCTGGGAACACCTAAAGTAGAGCTTTAGAATTATTTTATTTGAGAAATTGTTTCATGCATAAAGTTGTAGAACAGTTCATAATAAACATACAGCTACAAGTTTCAGCATCCACCAACATGAAATTTAAAAATGTACGCATTAAAAAGCTACACTTACTCTTGGCCTAAGTGCAAGTAAGACCTTCCAAGATGCAGGACAAAATACACAAAGGGTTTTACCAATGGCAGATACTGAAGGCTGTAAGCCAGTGTAAAAGCAAATAAGAGAAACTGTACAAACAACATTTTATTTACAAATATACAGGCAACTAATAAAACCAGCATTCAGTCTTCATCTGAACCATCGTCAATCAAGGGACGTGCTCTGCAATTAAAAGAACATTTTTAGTATTTTATGCATTTATATAACCAACAGGAATGCAGTTTAAGGTCTTTACATGCCATCACACACTAGAGACAACATAAATCCTGTGCATGCATTGTCAGGGGCTGCCCCCATGGCCAAATCAGGGACAGGAACGTGAACCAATCAGTCATTGCTGAAGAAGAGTACAGCAGGAGCCAAGTGTGTTGTGCATACTTCTACATAATCCAGATAGCCCAATCATTACAAAATGTAGTTCTCTTAAGCTTAGAACACCCTTGTGCATCAAACATAAGTTCGTTATATATGGAGAGTGTGTTTTGCAATACCAAACTTAAGGTCTACATAGCAGTTTATTTGCTACAAATGCAAAAACAATGTATATTATATTGCCCCACAACCATTAAAAGTGGATTTAGTTACAGCCCCGGTGGATTGCAGTGAGAACGAGGTGCAAGGTAGCAAAACTGCTAAAAAAAAAAAAAAAAAATTATATAGAACCTCTCAATCCCCACAGAAAGTGATAAGCAACTCCATTTTCAAAACTATAGGCAATATTGAGGATTTATTTTGAAGAGTAAAATACTACCGTTCACTGCACTAAGTTAGAAATGCTAAAACATTTCCATCAAATGACAACTATGTACACTATTTACTCTTTGTACTGAAATAGTTTTTAGTCATTGCACAGTAATGACAATGGGCAGCAGGTAAATGACAAACACTAGTGCTTTAAATAACACCTGAAAGCTTAACGACCACAATCAAAACCCTGCTAACCTACAATGTTCAGGGTCTGCACTTACTTCCGTGGTGCTTTACCAACGCCACTGCCTCCTGCTTCTTCACCATCATCGTCAGAAGGCACACAGTTCTCTTTTTCTATACTGCCAGTAGATGGAGAGCCAAAGAAATCTCCTATACCTTTTTGCCATTTTGGCGTTGGTCGGACACATACAGGGTTGCCTCCAGCATACTTGCCATCAGCTGTAAATTTGGTAAAGACAAGGAGAAAAGATCAGTAAAGCTACATGGAAATGCTGGAAATTTATAATAGAGAACCCATGATGAAAAAACATTTACTGTGTTTCCCCGAAAATAAGACAGTCTTTTTTTTTGTGCAAAAAAAATATAACACACACTAGGTAGGTAAACACTTATTTGTTTTAATGTACAACAATCCACAATTATTCATGTAGAAAAGTCTATATGTATTCATGTACAAAAATATGGTGATCAGGGCAATCAGGGGTGCCGTACCTTTCCAAGAGCAATTTGGTTACCAGAATGAGCGAAGCGCACTTTCACTATCGTTTCCTCACAGGCGGAGTGCATTTGGTGTCGATAGCGTGGCAAGTACAGTTGGAGCGGGAAGGGGTAATATAGTAGTTTAATTATAAGTCTGCTTTTAAAAGCACCACATACCAAGAACAAGCACACTATACACTCAACTTTCTTTTTTTTTTAAAAAGGAAAAGCACATCACAATTTTACAAAAGCTGCATAGACTATGCAGTTGGGTCAGCAGGTCAAGAAAACTTACACTTTTTCCCAGTTGGTGATGTTGTATGATTTGAGGAAGAAGAGCTTGCACCAAAAGACTTTCGTGGTGCTCTAGCAGCAACAGCTAACAAAACAGAAAAGGGGAAAAACATGTTAATTAAAAAGCAGAAACTAAATATTACATGAAGTCTGAAGACAAATTCCACCCCCCTTCCCCCCAGTCCCAACTTTGTGATACAATTACTGCCTATACAAGTTTAACCATTTCAGTACTGCAAGTGTTCCAATATAAGCCATGAGCAGGAACACGCTTTGTTAAAGGAGAACTATGGAGGCCAGTGTTTTTCCCCATAGTTCTTAGGACACAAACTAGCGTCATCCCGTTACCCTAAGCTCAGTACACCGCAGCGGATCCCGACATCCGCCCAGCTGCGTGAGTGACAGCTGGCTCTGCCTATCCATGTTGTAATCCTACCGTTTTCCCATATTTTGTGAAACGATGTGCAAAAGGTTGCCACTATAGAAACCACCATTTTAAGGATGGCGCAACACTCCAGGCCCAGCTAGACCTCTCCATGACACATGCCTTGCAGTAAAGCATTTGTTTTGGGTGGGCTTACCACAGCACAGATTTTAAAGCCAAGCACAGTGACCCATAAGTGGCTTTGGGGGACCATTGACAGTACATGGCAGAACCCTTTTAATATTACAGCTTATTCCTCTTCCCATACACTTAAGAGTATGTGCTTTGAGGCCCCAGTGAAAGGATACTTTTCTGCTGCCCAGAGTGGGTCTTTAAGGTATCGGAGCATCTGTTGGACATCTTGTGACAATGCAATAAAATTAAATAAAAGCGAACAGATCACATGCAGACCACAGAGATGCATCCCGACAACCTGTCATTAACTTAAATGAGTAGTTGCCAAATTTGAACAGGGACACCTTGGGACTCCTACCGCAGGAATCCCAGATCAGCCATGTGCAAACATGTGTGGGCTGGAGTGCACAGGTCTTTAGAATTGGAAAGTTGCATTACCAGTTTCTTTAAAACACTTCCTTACAACATTATCACAGCAACAAAGGGCTAAATTAAAAGTGCAGCCTTTTTTGAACACAAGCAGTAGGAAAGAAGCATAATTAAAAGGAGAACTATAAAGCCAGTGCTTTCCACTCATCCTCATAGCCATCGAGCCGACATGCGACAATGAAACTGTCACGCGTCAACTCTATTGATCGGGAAGTGAGCGAATACATACCGTCACTCACTTACCAATCATCTTCCTGCAGAGAGCAGTGACTGGCAGTCAACGCTCCCCACAGGGATTCCCCCTAGCGCTGACTGGAGGAACAAACAGGGGAGGGGCAGGCACTCCCTCTAGATAGGCTGTCACTCACTCAGCTGGACAGATCCAGACAGCATTGTCAGAATCCTTCACAGCTGCAGTGCTCAGTATACCCGCTATATACTGAGCTTTGGGTCACAGGAGGAGGTTAGTACATGTCCTCCCAAAACCTTAAAGAGAACTATGGGGAAAAACACTAACATAGTTCTCTTTCAACCCCCCCATGTTGTAATTTGGTTTGGGGCTGCCTTAGGCAAAACTAAATTCAGCCTCCACCCCACCCCCCTAAATTTGCCCCACCCATTCCTGTTTCTGCATAATCTATCAGTACCTGGATACAGCATGCACACACTATCTAGCTTTGACATTTTCCACTAGAAGCATAGCAGGAAAGCTGGGGTCTCACTAGGGGCTGCATAGCCCCCCCTGAGACCCTACCAAAGATCCTGCAAAGCCACCCCAGGACCCTGCACATAATCTGTGGTGGGCTGTGCAGGGTACCTTTACCAGTGTGATCCTCTTACCCACATCTGCCAGCCACTGCTGGGCCTGGCCTCCACCACCAGGTCACTGGTGCTGCTGGCCCCAATGCAGCAGATGCCCCTGCCCATAGCAGTATAGGAGGGGCACTAAAGGAATATTTTATCTTACTCTTTCAAACTTCCTCCCTATCACAAAACCAGCCCAACAAATCTTACTGCCAAAAGGTCTGATCACAGCCCTCATCATTTACAATATATGAGGCCATCACAGGGTGGGTGCCTGCCTCCCCACCATTTGCAGAACAAAGGAAGGTACCATTCACTAGGGTAATAGTATTGTTCTATACACTTATCTATTAAAGCTTGTAATCTGGCAATGGGAGGGCTAGACATGATCAGATGCTGGCTGTACCCCAGAGTGTGAAATAGGTAGGGGTACACAAGAGGGTGATAGAGACTTCCCCTTCTAATATACATCAATACACACAGGATCTTACAATACACTAATCACTTCTGCAGGGAGCTCATACTGCCGAATGTCAATGGCTGCCGAGCAGACAGCTACCTCCACATATCCTCCCTCATTACTTACCTTCAGATTTAAGCCACCATCCTATGCCGCGATGTCGGCGTCTTAGCTTTCTCATAGTTATTACGTCACCACATGGTGACTAGACTGTTTCAAGTCTCTTATTATTAGGGACAGGGAAGCTCACAGAAGTATTTTTCCGGAACAAAGAGCATAAGGAGAAAGTAGAGGGTCCAAGTTTGGTGCCCCAATAATTTAGGGGGACCACCACTACCTTCACCGTAAACTCACACAGAGTACATAAGATTACCGCCAACATTGAAGGAGGTACTCCGCAGTCAAAATAAAAATAACGGATATCCCCACAAGCCACCATGAAAGCACACTCAGCCTCACCTTTCCTGTAGCTGCCAGTGGACGTTCCCGCGCTGTCAGCCTTGGTGCGCACCATGTTCTCCTCACCAGCCCAGTACCACAAGACGGTCTGCCCGCCTATATCTTCCCCGGCCGGATTTAAAGCTCTGGCTTTGGCGCTCGAAATTCCTGCCCGCCCACTCTGCTACTATTGGACGGTCGCCTCCTTCCTCCGCCCATTCTTTCCAGGCTAGTCAGTAGGATGTCAAAGAGAGACCTGCCTGTCAAGCCGTCCGCCCTTATTCCCGCCCAAATGCCGGACTCGCCTATCGTTGTCAAGCTGCGACGGTGGGGGAGGGGCGATAGTAGCGCTGTACTTTCCCGCTCTATTTCGAGAGTTGTCTGTGGCGACATGTTATCATCAATGTGAAATTAATAATATGCCAAACGAAAATAAAATACTTGAACTAGAGCCACGTAGTACACCCGCTAACTAGAAGGGGTGGAGACTGAACGATAATAATAACAGGGGGAAGGTGTGGAAATGGCGGAACCTAGGGAAAATACATTTATAGAATACAAAAGTTATTGTTATTGGCCCCATTGTCTTGGTTTGTCTATTTCGGGCATTTTTTTCAGTATTTTTGAGTACATTTAGACTAGGTTCACACTGCATGACACCCGGTACGCGTGATCGTGTGCTAGTACACACAGCGATTGCCATGCAACCCCATTGACTTCAATGGGGCTAAAAAAATCGCTAAAAAAAGGTACAAGTACCTTTTTTTTGCAACTCACGATATGTGTTCACTTGCATGGGTGGAATTGCGGCGGGAAACCGCACGATTCGCCCAGTGCCATTAGAAAATAATAGCACCCACAGAACCGTGCGTCAGGAGTTTCCTAGGTGTGAGCCTAGCCTCAGACCCCGTTCACACCAGGGCTGATTTTTCCACGCTGAAACGCATGGAACAAAAAAATCCTATACATTCCTATGGGGGCTGTTCACGCAAACGGAATCGCGCATACAAATATGCCTGTCGCTTGAAATAGTCCCTGAGCTTCTTTTGTTGCGATGATCAGCTCGTTATACTCCCTAGACTTCAATGGAAACGCACTAATCAGCACGGTTTTGCACGTTTTTTATTTGCGTTTCAGCAGCTGAGCCTGCTTCTCATTGGACAAGTAAAAATGAGCTTTAAAAACGCGCTGAGATCTAAACAGTAAATGCCTGTAATACATGCTCAAACGCACTTAAAAACGTGCAATAACACGCAAAAAAAGTGCGAAAACATTGCTGAAACGCTGTTGCCCTGATGTGAATGGGGCCTTTAGGCTTGAGCTTTTTTATCATTATTATTTATAGCCAAACTATTTACTGGGTAAGCAAATGCGTGAAAAGATACACATTACGCATATTTGAGGTGGTGGTCCCATTAAAGTCTTTTGGGGCCAAAACCCTCCACTCTTCCCCAAAAGAAGCCCATGTACTTTTCTGAGCTATGGTGCTTTGTGGCAGAATGTAAAGAGCAGCCATTGAACACAATAGGATTACTCCTGTTGAGTGTCATATCGCTCAGGCATTTGAGCTACAAAACATTCAGGTGTGAATGGGGCCTTAGACATTGGGGGGAATTGATCAAAACCGCAGTAGACAGAAATTGGAGCAGTTGCCCATAGTAACCAATCAGCTTCTCTCGTCAGTTTGTTCAGTTAAGCTTTGAAAATGAAAGACAGAAGCTGATTGGTTGCTGCTCCAGATTCTGTCTGCTCCAGTTTTGAAGTTCCCCTAATTGCAGCAGCAGCACCAGACGGCCGTGCATGCATCAGGACATCCGTAGTGTGACGGCCCCACGCATGAGCCGTGATGTACTTCATTGACCAACAGCCGTCTTGGTGATGGACGCAGGCAAAGAGAGGAGGGGCTATTGGCCCGGCGGGATCAGGTATGCCGCTGGGTCCCCCCTTCTCTCTCTCGTGAACCTGTTGGGTTCTCGGACCAAGTGCCTGACTTTTAGGAGGGGGTGACACCAAAATGGCTGCCATTCATTTTGGTGTCACCCCTATGATGGTGTCACCCGCTTCAGGCCAAACCCTCCTTGTGAAGCATGTGAGGAAGAATTTGGTGGAGGAAGGCGCACAATGCACAACCCAACAACAGGAGTTACTGTTTATGTATGTTTGCTGAGACGAGTGATGTGATTACATTGCCCAATAGGTGAATGAGGTATGCGGTAGTTTTGTGCGATGCAGATCATACCAAAAGGGTCATTAATAAAGGCAGGAAGAGGCATGTGTATGGTACATGGAAATATGGTGCTTATGTACAAAAGACGGAGCAGATAAAGAAACAAAATACATAAATAAAAGTACCAGAACATTGGCCAATAATGTAAGAACACAAGTCAGGAAAACAAACACAGACTACTTGTGCCGCCCCAATGGGGCATAGAATATGTTATAGAAGTTAATATAGATAGAAGTTTTACATAGTGTGTTTTACCTATATATTTTCTCATAGCTAAATCTATGTTTTATTCTATGCTGCCATCTAGTGTAACAAACATGCTTTCTGTAATTATTCCTCATGTGACGACGTATTTCCCCCTAGTGTACGCCCCTTCCTTCTTCCTGTGTGCAGTACTTCCTGTGTCATGGCCACAGTTAAAAGCCACATGTAACAAGGACACACATGTAATCTGCACAGTACGTAGGAAAGGCATCATTTTCTGACCGCACAATACTATAACCGTTCAACTGCTGTTACTATCATCTGCTGTAATCCTGATGTAAAGAATAAACACCTCTTTTGAATGAATCGGTATTGACGAGTTCAGCTATCTGACGAGGATTGTCCGCAGTGAGTATATCTGCTTATACAGGCCAGGCATAGAGGTCTCAGCAAGGGATATATTTCGCTATCACAACGATCGGAGTCAGAATACTACTATCACCAACAAATTGCAGGCCTGCCAAACACATACTCTAGGCTCCAGTCAGAAAATTATCCTCTCCAACAGGCCAGTAGAGTTGATCTCTTTAGCTGTCCTTTCCCCTCCAGGGTTTAAGCGGACACTTAGGCCTGGTTCACACCTGAGCGTTTAACAGCGTGTTCCTACGCTCTGTAAAACGCTCAACATGTGAAAACCAATGATTGTCTATGGGCATGGTTCCCACCTGGGCGTTTTACAGCGCGTAGGAACGCGCTGCAAAACGCCCTACGCCCAAAGTACAGGAGCTTCTTTGGGGCATATTTGCCGCGCGCAGCCAGGTAGCCCTCGGAAACGCGTGTTTGTCGCGCGTTTTTGTTACCGCAAATCGTGGTAAAAACGTGCGGCACGAAACGCGCGACAAACGCGCATATTCGATATGCCTAGGTGTGAACCCAGCCTTAGGGGTCTATTTATAAACAATTCGTACAGCCAATCGACCTGCAAAATTCTGTTACTGTTTGATCAGCAAATGGGGGCAAAAATGAACGTTCTTGCTATATTATCAGGGTTATTCAGAAAAGGGTGAAGAGTTTGGAGAAGGCAGGAGAAGTTAACAATCTAGGACAGGGGCGCCCACAATTTTTTGTCTGGAGATCTACTTTTCAAATGACGAGCTCATTGAGATCTACCATAGAAAAAACACCTGCATTGAGGGGCGGGAAGGGGCGTGGTGGTGCATTAAAGTCAATGGCACCGCAGCCAGGCTCCGCAGGCAGGCCCCTCACCCATAATGCGATCGCCTGCACCAGGAACCCAGGCACATTAGTGCCTGCGTTCTAGTCCAGTGCGATCCGCAAAAATGCTGCAAGCACTATTTTTGCAGATTGCACTGGACCGGAATGCAGGCACTAATGTGCCTGCGTTCCGGGTGCGTGCGATCGCACGGTGCCATTGACTTCAATACAACCCTACACCCCCTCCTGGCCCTGAACGCAGGTAGTCGCCCGGCTTACATTCCAGTGCGTCCTAGAGGCCCTGGCGTCTTATCCTCCTGTGGTGCTCGTGTGGCCGACGTTGCACATGGGAAGAGGTGTCCTGCCCCTTTCCATCTGTGGCGTCTAACACATTCAGCCTGCAGCCGCACGAGCATCGTGAGAGCATAGCCGTAGCCAGCTCCTTTTGCGCCCAAGGCAAGAAAAGCCAACAGCCCCCTGATACTTCCCTTTTAAAATAGAAAAAGTAATTGAGGACACAAAGTCCTCAATCCCTTTTTCTGCAGCCTCTATTCTAAATGAATGGAAAGCACAGAAGCTTCCCATTCATTAAGAAAATATTTTACTATCAAGCAGTTTCTGAATGGGGAGGAGCCTCTGTAGTGAGTGCTTCTCCCCATTGAGAAACTCATGAATGAACAGGAAGTGATGTAAATCACATCCTGTTCATTCATAACTGGGGACACATAGTACTATGTGTCTCCAGTTATTTACAAACACTGGAGTGATCAGCTGATCGCTCCATTGTTTGTCCTGCATGGAGGACCGGTACATATCACTGATATGTACCGATACTCGGCCACGCACACGGGGGGCTCAGCTTCTCCCATGGATGCCCCCTGCTATCCTGGGCAGAGGCAGCGGGGGATCCGAACGAAGCACATTAGCCGCGGGGTGGGGGTGGAGCCTCTGTCACAGAACTAAGGCCGAGCGGTGAGGTGAGAGAGAGGCGCCGGCTGTCAGATCCAGACCGAGCGTCTCTCTCTCTCCTCACCGCTTGGCATTAGTTCTGTGACAGCGGCTCCGTCCTCCGCCCTCCCCCGCCACCGATTCCTTCATTTCTTCCCCCGGCGGGAGGAGAGGACATTGCGATCTACCAGTGAACGCGATCGACCTTATGGGCACCCCTGAGCTACTGTGTAACATTACACATTTGTATTATAGTCTTTAAGTGCAAGTGAAGCCAAAACTTTTTCAGATTTTATTCCTTTCTGAGCTCCCTTTAAGCCTTGTTCACACCAAAAGCGCGTGCGTTCCAGAGCGGTAGCTGATAAACTTCCCCTTGCATTTTGGGGCGTGGCGGTGCATTGTATTCAATGGCACCGCTTCCACACACCGCCGCCCGCAGTGCGATCCGACGCCTGGCAAAACTTTGCCAGCTTTCCGTTCCACAGCAAACGCAAAAAATAGGGCTTGCTTGCCCTATTTTTTGCGTTTGC